CAAGGCTCGAAAAGGCAAAGGGTCTTTAGGTTGAAGAGCTCCCAAGTGTATTATGGGCCTACGGAACCACGCCAAGAACTCCAACTGAGGAAACCCCATTTTCCTTTGCCTTCGGAACTGAGGTTATCATCACTGTGGAGATAGGGGTACATTCCCTAAAGATCCAACTCNGGACAAGTAGAAGTCATGGTGAGAACAGTGCTACGCTACCTAAAGACAAGGCTTGAAAAGGCAAAGGGTCTTTGGGTTGAAGAGCTCCCAAGTGTATTATGGGCCTACCGAACCACGCCAAGAACTCCAACTGAGGAAACCCCATTTTCCTTTGCCTTTGGAACTGAGGTTATCATCACTGTGGAGATAGGGGTACATTCCCTAAAGATCCAACTCCACGACCATATCACCAACGAGGAAGTACTCTGCATCAATCTTGACTTGGTAAAGGAGGCAAGGGAGATGGTTGTGGTCCGCAACGCGGAGTACAATCATCGTATGGCAAAATACTACAACTCAAGGATGAAGCCTCGTTCTTTCCAATCAGGAAACTTGGTGCTAAAAAAAGTGATCCTTGCCATAAAGGATTCATGTAAAAGAAAGCTGGGACCAAACTCAGAGGGACCTTACCTCATAACAGAAGTGGTGAGGCCAAGCACCTACAAGATCCAGAGTTTCAAGGGGAAGGTCCTACCCCACGCATAGAATGCTGAGCACCTGAAGAGGTACTATTAGTGACACCTTAAGAAAGCAAAAAAGTTGGAGACTTGTTTTTATTTTTTGTACTTTTTTGGGGGCTATTACCCAATATTGTTTTGCATAAGCAATGAAGGAATAAAACTATTGTTTTACATAAGCAGTAAATGAATAAAACTTTCTTGATTTACTCCAAAAAGATATTTGTATTTTTGTATTCAATTTCAAAGGAGCATCAGTAGCAAAAAATCATTTTTACAAAAGTGAGACTATATACTGTCTTTCTAAAAAAAAATCATCAAAAGTCCCCAACACCTTAACTACTCTCATGGTCGTTCTCTTCCTCCTCCTCCTCCTCGTCATCCTCACCATCATCAGAGCCTCCATCACCATCATTACGCGCCTTGGTTAGCACGAAGTCTGAAAGGTCAATNAAAATCATCAAAAGTCCCCAACACCTTAACTACTCTCATGGTCGTTCTCTTCCTCCTCCTCCTCCTCCTCGTCATCCTCACCATCATCAGAGCCTCCATCACCATCATTACGCGCCTTGGTTAGCACGAAGTCTGAAAGGTCAATATTAGGGAAAGAAGTAGAAATCTTTCTCCAGAGCTCCTCATAATCGTCAATGAAAGCATCTGCAAGGCCATTCTCCAGGTCCACCTCAGCCCGAGAAGCTCTCTCTTGAGCAACCTTCACCTTTGTCTCTACGATAGCCTCTTTGAGCATGACCCTCTCACGGGTCTCTACAAGCTCAGCCTCACTGAACGTGGCCCTCTAACGGGCCTCCACAAGCTCAGTCTCGAGCTTGGCTGCCCTCTCATGGGTCACTGAAAGCTCAGTCTCAAGCCTAGTTACCCTCTCACGTGTCGCCATAAGATCAGCATCAGAAGCCCTGCCAGCAGCTTCAAGTTCAACAATCCTCCCCTGAGCAGCATGGAGCTTCTTTTGCATAACATCGTGATCTTGCTTCAGCTTGCCGTGAAAATAGGCCCTTGAAAGTAAACACATAGATGCAGTAGAAGCCTGAAGAAAGATAAAAGTCAAAAGAACGTCAAAAGCTTANACCCTCTCACGTGTCGCCATAAGATCAGCATCAGAAGCCCTGCCAGCAGCTTCAAGTTCACCAATCCTCCCCTGAGCAGCATGGAGCTCCTTTTGCATAACATCGTGATCTTGCTTCAGCTTGCCGTGAAAATAGGCCCTTGAAAGTAAACACATAGATGCAGTAGAAGCCTGAAGAAAGATAAAAGTCAAAAGAACGTCAAAAGCTTAAGAAAGGGTTGGAGAAAGGGAGACAACCGACCCTTACTTTAGCCAGGCCTTCCAAAAAAAGCTAATAATTCCCTCGGTGCCCAAAGCACTAATCTCGCTAACATCGTTGGGAAACATAAATCGCCCAAGTCGATCCTTTATGACTAGCGCATTACCTAACATGGAGCTGATCTGAATCGATGCCCTTTTGGAAGTTTCCACAAGAAAAATGGATGAACGGAGGGCAGAAGATGTGGCCAACAAGGGGGACTCTGGAGTAGGAGATACAACTGAAGGAGTGTCCAACTGAGGAGGCACCACTGGAGGGGGTCATTTGATGAGAGCACGCCTTGGGTACCACTAGAGGAGTTGCTCGAGGAGAGCACACTTTGGGCGACTCCATTGGAAAAGTCACCTGGGAGACATTGCCTATCCTTGCCACCTTAGAAGGAGGAGGGGCTTCTACCAGAAAGGCGGGACCCAATCACCTTTCTATCTACTATTACAAAGGAAATAAAGGGTTATCTAGATGAAAAATCCAAGAAAAGGGAAAAAATATAAGAGAATTAACATAGTCTTTATTTTCAAAGAGGGTCCTGGAGATGATCTACCAGTCCCACCACCGTGTTTGGACATAAGAACTCCAAAGTATTTTTTCAGTGTGGGCCCTCACAGCCTGCAACTTCCATTCTTGGTCCTTGGAGAGCATAGGAGAATCTGCAAGAGGCATGATGAGTAAAAAAAAGGCAAAGGAAATAAAGTAAGTGTAGGGCGTACCAAATTTCTTAGGAGTACCCCATTCTATTGGTACCAAAGTCCTATCGGCCTCTGCAGCCCACTCTCCGCCGACAAACATAAAGCGAGACTTCCAACTATGACAGTTGGAGCGCAGCCCGGTAATCTACTTGTCCCTTATAGTAAAATAATTTCAACCCCGATTGGGAGCAAGAGTCTCACTCAAAGTATAGGCTCCATGAAACTCGACAGGAGAGACATCCACATGGTGCACTTTCCTCCACAACACCAAAAAGCACAACAAAACCTTCCAACCATTGGGCGACAATCGCCCTGGTATGCAAAATACGGCAAATGGAAAAAGACATAGGGAACCTGAGCCCAGCCTCAAGCATCTCCTCATAGATAGCAATGTCACCAGAGGAGTCATTAAAGGCAGGCTCACCCATCTCAGCCCGACAGCACAGCACAGTCGGAGGAATGTGGTAGGTGGAGACAATCTGCAAAATATCAGAGTCTGTATTTAAATTGCTAGAAATGGTACTCACCTTAGACCCATCATCATCAAGGGTCACCTTTCCTCGGTGTTTTTTGCTACGAGGACGTGAAAAGTTGCCTGAGCCATTAGCAGAGAGGCCCTGAGTTTGACTTTTATGAGTACTGCTTGAAGGAGCCAAATCATCCGCCACATTCCCAGAGTTGTCACCACTAAAAGTGCCCATGGCTAACTGGGTCTCACCCAATGGTAGAGAAGCCTCAGCGGTTTGATCTACTCGCTTGGACAGCTTGTCTTTCACCTGGCTTACTCACCCAATTGGGGTCATCTGGGCACCCAANCAGGCCTTCCAAAAAAAGCTAATAATTCCCTCGGTGCCCAAAGCACTAATCTCGCTAACATCGTTGGGAAACATAAATCGCCCAAGTCGATCCTTTATGACTAGCGCGTTACCCAACATGGAGCTGATCTGAATCGATGCCCTTCTGGAAGTTTCCACAAGAAAAATGGATGAATGGAGGGCAGAAGATGTGGCCAACAAGGGGGACTCTGGAGTAGGAGATACAACTGAAGGAGTGTCCAACTGAGGAGGCACCACTGGGGGGGTCATTTGATGAGAGCACGCCTTGGGTACCACTAGAGGAGTTGCTCGAGGAGAGCACACTTTGGGCGACTCCATTGGAAAAGTCACCTGGGAGACATTGCCTATCCTTGCCACCTTAGAAGGAGGAGGGGCTTCTACCAGAAAGGCGGGACCCAATCACCTTTCTATCTACTATTACAAAGGAAATAAAGGGTTATCTAGATGAAAAATCCAAGAAAAGGGAAAAAATATAAGAGAATTAACATAGTCTTTATTTTCAAAGAGGGTCCTGGAGATGATCTACCAGTCCCACCACCGTGTTTGGACATAAGAACTCCAAAGTATTTTTTCAGTGTGGGCCCTCACAGCCTGCAACTTCCATTCTTGGTCCTTGGAGAGCATAGGAGAATCTGCAAGAGGCATGATGAGTAAAAAAAAGGCAAAGGAAATAAAGTAAGTGTAGGGCGTACCAAATTTCTTAGGAGTACCCCATTCTATTGGTACCAAAGTCCTATCGGCCTCTGCAGCCCACTCTCCGCCGACAAACATAAAGCGAGACTTCCAACTATGACAGTTGGAGCGCAGCCCGGTAATCTACTTGTCCCTTATAGTAAAATAATTTCAACCCCGATTGGGAGCAAGAGTCTCGCTCAAAGTATAGGCTCCATGAAACTCGACAGGAGAGACATCCTCATGGTGCACTTTCCTCCACAACACCAAAAAGCACAACAAAACCTTCCAACCATTGGGCGACAATCGCCCTGGTATGAGTGAAAAGTAATGCAAAATACGGCAAATGGAAAAAGACATAGGGAACCTGAGCCCAGCCTCAATCTTCTCATAGATAGCAATGTCACCAAAGGAGTCATTAGAGGCAGGCTCACCCATCTCAGCCCGACAGCACAGCATAGTCGGAGGAATGTGGTAGGTGGAGACAATCTGCAAAATATCAGCGTCTGTATTTAAATTGCTAGAAATGGTACTCACCTTAGACCCATCATCATCAAGGGTCACCTTTCCTCGGTGTTTTTTGCTACGAGGACGTGAAAAGTTGCCTGAGCCATTAGCAGAGAGGCCCTGAGTTTGACTTTTATGAGTACTGCTTGAAGGAGCCAAATCATCCGCCACATTCCCAGAGTTGTCACCACTAAAAGTGCCCATGGCTAACTGGGTCTCACCCAATGGTAGAGAAGCCTCAGCGGTTTGATCTACACGCTTGGACAGCTTGTCTTTCACCTGGCTTACTCACCCAATTGGGGTCATCTGGGCACCCAACCCAGCCTCTGCACACCCATCTCCACAAGCTTGCACGCCAAAACTGCTCAGATTGGCGCCAAAGACTAGGCGCCACGTTGCCACCTCCCTTACACGGACACCGAGCTCGCCTGGACTGCCCAAAACAGCGCCTAAATCGGTGCCTAGGTCGGCCCCCACACCTACACACATGCCCAGGCTAGTACCCCATGCGTGCCTAGTAGTCCCTGCTTTTGCGCACCCAGCCTCGCTCCTAATTTGCTCATCGCTGCTCAAATTGGCATCCTGGACAGCATGGTGCACGCGCAAATCAGCGTCTGCGGCTCGCCTAGGACAACTCCCCCTAGCTCTTGCTCGCCCAAAACATACCCTCTTTAAACCTCCATACCTGTCTGTAAAGGTGCGCGCTCAGCAGAGGCGCTCGCTTGTGGTGCACTCCCAGCAGAGGTGCCTCCTCTGCTCACTCCATCCTGCTGTGTTGCTCATCCATGGATCCCACACATGGCAACAGGCACCTCGCCACCCTCCTCTTCTGTATAGGCAGTATGTCCTAGAGTAGTGGGCGCCCATGGAGCCCCCACCTCGGTGCTCAAAACCTCCCTAGAACCGCCTGCCTCCTCTCTTGGAACAACTCCAGTCTCTTCAAGATCAATGGATATTGACCCATCTTCTCCTTCAATTGCCATGGCTCTCTGAAATACTCAAACTCAAGAAGTTTCTTGAAAGATTTCAGGAAGAGCACTCCCCTTCACTCTCTNATCCAGTCTCTTCAAGATCAATGGATATTGACCCATCTTCTCCTTCAATCGCCATGGCTTTCTGAAATACTCAAACTCAAGAAGTTTCTTGAAAGATTTCAGGAAGAGCACTCCCCTTCACTCTCTCAAATTCTATGGAATGGGTGGAATGGGGAAGAAGCTCTTTATTTATACGAAGAATATTTTTTAAAATCCTCTTAAGGAAAGGAAAAGCAAAAAGCCCAAAATTACAACCTAGAGCTCTTTAAGAATCCAAAAAAGGAAAGGAATGAGGGAGTGTATATAGTCAATGGAGTCCTACAAGCAAAATGAGTCTACTGGAAAGGAAGGGGTCACCGATCAAGAGGAGTTTTCAAAAAATTCAGATTTAAAAAGGGTTGCTCGCTATTTTGACCATAAATTTTACTCCGTTACTCCAAATAGGGCCCATAATATATCAAATCGAAACTCTCGACGAGTCCCACCAGAATCACAATTGTTGGTTATAAGTGATGTTATTAAAAGCCCAAAAAAGGCCTAGAAGCACATGTTTTGGCCTCCCAAAATTTTTTCAGTTATGCCGATTAGTCGAAAATTCAAACTCAAACTGAATGCCCTCTTTTCCAAGTTCCGTTAGATGTAGAGCATTGGAGGGCAAATGATGGGCCAAGCCCAAGGGCCTAGCTCAAATTATAAGCCCAGTCCAAGTTTATAGCCCATCTCCAAGAGATCCAGCAAGTCCAGTTTAATGTGGTTAATCTGGTCAAGCTCATCAAGCTCAAGGAGTTACATTAGCAGGGAGCACACAGGGTCATCCAAGGCCTCATCCTCGTCGCCTTAGAGAGAGTCAACCCTCATCTCATCCTTTAACCGAGTCCCATAGAGAGTATTTTAATCGCCTTACCTGTTAAGGAGAGGTCGCCACCTCCGTCGGATCAGTTATTTACTTACTATTAAATCACCTCAATCTGTTATGACCGTCAGACTAGCTATTTAATTACTATGCGTTATGAGACGACTATAAATTGTAAGTCCCGCCAACACTTGGGGGCATCATACTTAGTCGAGCACAACTCTCCTCTCCCTCTCTAAGCTTGTAACTATCTGCTCTCCTTGCACACTTGAGTTACTAAAATATCCAGTGACCTTTGTCATTCAAAGTGGACGTATGTCACGTTGACTGAACCACTATAAACCTTATCTTCTCTCTCCTTCTACTTATTTACTACATTTTGTACTGCTTACTTGACTAGTGGTGTGCAAACCCATTTGTGCATCATCACATTTGGTATCTTTTGTCCAACATAATGGTTCAGAATTTCATCATGTTGAATGCGTTGAATGTGTTCTTGCATTATTAGATCAAATTATGCTATCATTTCAATTATACTTAAAAAAATTTCATTAATTTCTCCAAATTGCCAAATTATTTTTACCAAGATTCTTTACAGCCGTAATAATTCTCACTAATACGTTTTTCCTATATTTTTTTCTCTCTGTTAATTTGTTCTTAGATGTTTTTATCAATTGTTTCACTTTTTAACAATCTTATTTCTAAATCAATCCAAGTATTCATATTAGCAATATGTTCATTATATGTTTCATGGCTTTTAAGTTTAACATAAGTTTAATACTATGATTCTTATCAAACAACTTACAACAAAAACAAAATCCTCTATCCAAATCTTTTGAATATACTAGTCATTTTCTCTCTTGTGTCTCCTCATTTGTTAATTTACGAATATAGCGTATACTGAAAAAATGTCTAGAAAGCTCGTCTTTGGGAAAATTTAAATCATTATTTTTAATAGAACCTTTTTCTACAAGCAAGCAATGCAACACATGTGTTGCACGTGAATAATTTTTGTTAAAAAAAATTAATAGATAAATATTTAGTATATGAGTCCTTGAATTAAATATTATCTCAAATTTACCAAATTTATTTTTTCATCTCTCATGCTCCACTATAAAATTTTTGAAAACTTTGTATATTTTCAAGAGTTATTATTCTAACTTTAAGAAAAATAATAAAAAAAAAAAGAAAAGAAAAAATTAAACTTCTATTTTTTTTCTATAATTTTGTAATTGAAAGTGACTTTTTAGTAATGTTTGAAAATTAAATTTTTTATAATTAATTTGATTAAGATTCCACTTATAAATCATTGAATAAAATAAAAATAATTATCAATTTACCAATCGTATTGGAACTTACTATATTTAGGATTAGTTATGTCAATTGAGATAAAATTTAATATGCAATGTCATAATATATATTATAAATCATATTAAATTTAAAAATAATTCAAATTTTCACATAAAATGTTAACATAATTTAGAAAATTTACTGTGACTAAAAAATTTGTAAAACTATATATACATTATTTTTTATTTTAAAAATAAAATGGTTAAACATTTTGATGAAAAATAAAATATACATATGTAGTCATAATATTATCTTTATAAATGAGATGAGTATTATTATATTGATGAAGTTTTGAAAGTTTTTTTTGAAAATTTTGTTAAAATGTAAAATAATATATATACTTTTTAAGAATAATATAATCAATCAAAAAGTTTCATAAAAATTGACATTTATAAATAGAGAATAGATAATTAGAAAATTAATTTGATTAAAATTCTACTTATAAATCATTGAGTAAAATAAAAATAATTATCAATATACCATTCATATTAGAGTCATACTATATTTAGGATTATCTAGGTTAATTGGAATCAAATTTAATATACAATGTTATAATATATATTATAAAGAATATTAATTTTTTTTAAAAAAAATATAGTTTTCGCATAAAATCTTAACAAAATCTAAAAAGTTTACTGCGACTAAAAAATCATGCAAAATTATATATACATTTATTTTTTTATCTTAAAAATCAAAGGGTTAAACATTTTGATGAAAAATAAAATATAAATAAGTAGTCATAATATTATCTTTATAAGTAAGGTGAGTAATATTATATGATGGAATTTTTTAATGCTTTTTTGAATATATGTTAAAACTTATAATGGTGCATATATATTTAAGAGTAATATAATCAATCAAAAAATTTTATAAAAAATGACATTTATATAAAGGGAATATATAGCTAAAAGTGATTTTAGATATAATTTAGAGATTTAATTGCATAATTTAGATATTAAGTGTGGAAGGATAGAATGAACTNGTAATTTAGAGATTTAATTGCATAAGGATATGATGGTAATTTAGATATTAAGTGTGGAAGGATAGAATAAACTTTTTAATTCTTTATGAAGGTAAAATAGTAAATCAAAAGTTTTTCATGTTAATGTATTTTTATTAGTAGTATAAATATAAATAAGTCTCTTAGTTTTGTATTAATATTTTTTCATTGGCTTGGATCATAGATATTCATAGCATTATAATTACTTGTTTCATTAAGATTTTCATGGTCTAATTATTTTGTTTGTTCTTCATCATCTATTGTCGTAATACATGTTTGACTAGAATTGTGCATATTTTCATTATTAATTTTTTGTTGTATTATATTCTTAGTTCATTTACTAAATTTTCACCTATATTTTTGGTTACATTTTTTTTGTTTCTAGTAACAAATTTATCAACAAATCCTTTTTGAGATTCCGTTAATTAATCTCTTTATTTTTTTTTTTTGAGCTTTTCATTTCCACCCGGTTGTTTTCTACATGCCATACTAACAAATATTAATTAAACAATCACAAATAATGAAATAATCACACACAATCTATATTAAAAAAATATAATAAGAACTTTAAATAAAAAATTCAAAGTATAGAATAATGACACTTGATTTGTTGTTATTTTTGATATTCCCGCAAAATCCGATTATCACCGTAGCAGCAGTTATACTTGATGTCAAAACAACCCATCCTTAAAAAGACATAATCAAGCTTAAAAGGCACAACCCCGCGCACCTCAGCCAACAAAGAATAATGCCAAACAAACTGAATTCACTGTCATGGAGACAAATTTTACAGTGGAGAGAGGACAAAGAGAGAGCCTTTCCAGATTATTTTGTCGTGGATAGAGGAGAGAGAAAGATAAAGATAATTAGGAGTGAGTGGTTAAAAAAATTATGTTAAAAAAGTGTGATATAAAATATCTCTTGAGTTGACAACTATACATCATTTACCGATATATTTTTTTATTAATTATTTTGGTACATGGACAAAAGAAATAAGCTCAAACTATCTAATTTAAAAGATTATGTTGAATGTTTAGTTTTTGGTAATTTTCTTATGGAGCCTGGTTTTTGTTTGCTGAACAGTCAATGTTTGTAGAAAATGCCAGAATTTGAGAAAAATTATCCGACAACTCGAATGTGTAATATTTTATACTTAAACTGGTCCACGTGCGGCATCAACTATTATAGAAATGAGTGATGTGATTGAAATGAAGAAAAAAAAATATATGAAAATAAAATTCAAACTCCAAACTTGCTTATTATATAAATATTGTTGTGTGTGTGTGGAATATGATGTCTCAACCTCCAGCAGCATTGACATTAAACATTGCAATTTTTGTAGGTCAAAAATGGCAGAAAACTGGTGAGATTTTAACATAAAAATTGACTAGCAGTCTTGACTTGAGGGAAACCAAATGTCAGGGCCCCTGGAGCCTTGGTTGGAGTGGGTTAACATTTCAAAAGCATCTATCCTAAATTGTTGTGCTCATCCAAGACTTCGCAATGGGGGGTGGTTGTGTGTGGGTGTGTATGTGTGAAGAACTCAACTACTGTCAGTGTCAGTTCCCATTGACCATTTGCACTTCACATGCATAAAGAAACTTTATTGTATGCTCCGTCGGTCCATACAATAAAGTTCTGATAACTAGTACGCAAAATGCCTCTCCGTGAACACTTGGCTAGTACCTAAAAGTCCAAGATCACGCACACACATACATACATATATTTCGAGGGTGGGCCTATTGC